AAAAAAGGGGACCCTCCAACGTTGCCCAAAGAGCGAACAAAAACAGAGAGGCTTTGCATATCTTGACATTAGTCTTTAAATTTATATGGCCAGTCAAACGTAACAAGCCCCTAACGTTACCAAAAGAGCGAACAAAAACAGAGAGGTTTCTGTATATCTTGACATTAGTCTTTTAATTTCTGTAGCCAGTCAAACGTAACAAGCATCAAGAACAGCTTATGCATGGTAGTTCCAAACAGCGCGTGGTGGGTCAAATGTGCCAACGGCAGCTCACAGGGACTTTTCTCGGAGAAGTCTTTGGAGCTCGACTGTCTTGTGAAACTTGGACTGCAGCCGATGCGCGAGTCCCATCAGTCTGGACTGCAGCCGAGGCGCTAGTCCTCAGTCTGAGGAGACCTTAACTCTATATAGCCAGTCAAGTGTAACAAGCATCAAGAACAGCCTATCCACGGTAGGTCCAAACAGCGCATGTTTGGTCAAATGTGGCAACGGCAGCTCACAGGGACTTTTCTCGGAGAAGTCTTTGGAGCTTGACCGTCTTGTCAGACTTGGACTGCAGCCGACGCGCGAGTCCCATCAGTCCGGACTGCAGCCGAAGCGCAAGTCCCATTAGTCTGGAGTGCAGCCGAAGCGCTAGTCCCATAATTCTGGACTGCAGCCGAAGCGCTAGTCCTCAGTCTGAGAAGACCGCGGCCAGAACTCGTCAGGCACATTGTGTTCTACAACCTTTGCTCCTACCGGACCGGCCGGACCCACCAGTTCAATCAAGGGATTCCAGTCATTCTTCGTCAAGCAAACAGCGAGTGCCTTTGTGATGGCTTGGCGCGAAGCTGTCGAAGATCATCTCAATCTGAGAGGGAACCCTTCTGGCTATCTCTTCCGATCACGTATTGTCCCGTCTGTGAAGCGAAGAGGGTCGAGTCCGAGGTTCCCAGAGCAGATTGGGAAAGGCAGCAGTGGGCACCTGGACGTCTCTGCGCCTCAACGGGCAGCCGTTCCTGGGAGCGACAGCCGCATTTCGGTCTGAAAGACTATGTGTCTGATGAAGGCATCTTGCGCTTCTGCGGGTGGCTGCGACGGAGCACGGCTGGAGCGGCTGCAAGCAGGGGTTCGGTGATGAGGCTCTGTAGCCGAGGAAATCGTAAGGCTCCAAGCGCCTGGCGCAACTGCCGGAGCGTGGCCTGTTCGCGGCGAGTGAAATCAGCATGCGCGAGTCGCAGGTAGTCAGGCCGTGGCCTGCTCAAAGACTTTCGGTCGGGCAAACGAACGAGGAGCAAGTCATCGAAGGTTGGCACCCGGCTGAGAAGTACCAAACAAGCAATCCAGTAGTCGTCCTGAGCGGATCGGAAATATGGACATGTCCAGGAGTCCAGGGAAAAAACGTTGATGGGGTCAAAGGTTAAAAGAAAGAGAAAAGAAAAAAAAGACGTTGAGGCACATTCTTGATATACGGTGGCTTAGCGAGATCCAGAATAATCGCTGGGAGGGTCTGCCCCTGAAGATTGTACGCTGTCAAGGCGAACAAATTGGTGCAGGGCAGTTGGGCCCGCTGTACCTGTAGGTAGGCCCGTTGATCTCGATCCAACAGGGCATGGGCAGTGGGCACGCTAGTGGGGTAAAACCGCCAGCTCCTCGTAGTAGGTCCTAGAAAGAAACGACCAGGTCCGAGATCAGCGTGCTTGATCCACGTAGCATTCGGTACTCGAAGGATGAGGCCAATGGGTAGGAAAAGCAATGCGTGCGGTGGTAGAGTCGGGTCTGGATCAAAATGCCTCAGCAGGAAAAATGAACAAAAGGAAAATTCAGAGAGGAAGCGAATCTCAGAGCCCAGGCGCGGTTCGTTGTCAGCGAGCAGGATGGCATCGACGATAGCAGTGCAACCGCGGACGACGCCCAATTCTACACACAGCTTGCTTTCCAAGCAGAGTTGCAAACCAGAAAAGAGGTACAGCATAGCCGGAAGATTCGCGGTGGTCGTCAAGTTGTGCGCGGAAGCAGCTTCCATGCCCAGATCGGGCGTCAGACCGATGGGTCTATTAGAGCCGGATATGCGATCAGCGGCCATAGCTATCAGCAACCGGTGGCCGCTGGCAAAGGCAGCATGCTGGGCTCGCTGCAGACTCTTCGCGCTGCGGATGGAATGTCGCAGCACTCCAACAGGACACCGCTCTGCGTGGAATTTTGGCTCTTGTAACCGCGGGTCATTGGCTCCAAGGCTGCGGGCGACCAAATGTTGCCAGGATTCGTCGGAGATGCCTTTGTCGCTGACAAGTTCTTGCAGCAGGGTGCTCAAAGGTCCAGAGCAGCGGTGGCTGTGGGTCAGGATCAAAACGGAGTCGACGGTCTTCCACAACGAGGCGCCGGCTTGCACCATCTGAAGCCTGCCGGACGCAGCTTCTGCGTTGTGGAGTTGAGATGCAACAGGTTTGATCAAACAAGTGGCTTGGACGGGTGGCAGCTGATGAAAATCGCCCGACAATCGTAAGGAGAGGCCGCCCCAGGGCACCATTGCCTGATTCCGGCAGAGTTGTCGACATCGTAGGTCCACGAAGGCCAGCAGCTCGTTGGAAATCATGGAAACCTCGTCTATGAACAAGGTCTTGATTTGGCTCCAAGCCGCTTGCAAGTCGTCCTTCTGGACGCCGAGCTGAGCACCAGCCGTCGCATCGGTCAGGTCCAGAGGCAAAGACAAACAGGCGTGCAAAGTTTCACCAGAAACCAGACTGGCGGCTCGATGGGTGAAGGCTGCAGATTGAATGCTATGGGGCAAGAAAATGTGGACAAGTTTTTTTGGCCACGTTGGTGATGAAGGTCTTCCCGGTACCCGGCCCGCCGAGCAAAAGAGAAGTATGGAAAGGAGGTATACGTGCGGGCAAACCCCAGGTACTGTTCATCGTTGTTTGGAGCCACATGGCAATGAGCAGTAGATATGCTGCCTGCTTCAGGTTGAGAACACCGGGGCTGGAATCGCAACATCCATGGAGCAACCAGGCCTCAGCCTGCTCAAGAACGATGCGCTCTGTTTTGGGCAGACAGGGCAATTGGAAGTCTGTACCGCGGGGCGGTGCGGCAGCAAAGGCTGCTGGCGCAAGCCGTTTGGTCAAGTCCCAGTCAAGTTCTTCTTGCTGAAGCCGCTTAGTGGGCACATAATCTGGTAGCTGCCACGGGACCACAGGGGGGCCTTGTCCAGCAGGCATTGAGTGCAGCATGATGTTGTCATCGATGGACCGGAAATGCGCTACATAGCTGGCCGACGCGAAAGCGCCAGGAAAAAGTTCTGAACGAGCCAGCGGCTGAAGGATGTCCCATGTTGCGGAAAATGCAGGACTGGAACGGTTTGGCGCCATAGTAGCGGCATGCTCAGGCAAGGCCTGGCAAGCAAGGGGCGGACCCAAAAAAGCAGCACCCAACCACCCACCAAAAGGAGACGAGACCGGTCCGGCGAAGAGTGCGTACTAGCCCGGTGGATCGTCGGGCCGATGGAGCTTCCCCCCAAAAAAAAAGAACAGCAACGTGGCGCGTAGAAAAATCGGTGGGAAGGGAGACTTGGCCTCATCCAGGTGGAGGTCGGGGTCGGCGTGGAGGTGGTCAGGATCGAATTCAAGATCGCTCTCGGATTCTGCATGGTCATGTCCAGTAGCATGGCTGTGCTCCACAGTGGTTGTGTCTGGCACGCCGTATAGAGCATCAGGATTGAGGGCTTGCTCTCTGCTTGCGGAGGCTGGATCAGCCGTAGACTCGTTGTCGATGTTGCCAACCACGTGAATGGTTCGCTGTGCCCAGAAGGCTGGCGACAGCACGTCTGCACGGGCAGCGCCATCTCCATGAAGTTGTTGGAGGTGGTTGTACCAAGACTCCCAAGCATCGGCCCAAGTGACTGCATTGCAAGTCAATGGCAAGAGATCGCGGAGAGAAAACCATGGTTTGGAGAGCAACAAAAGCAGTAAGCCGCGTTTGTCAGGATGCTCCTCGACACCAGGAATGCGAGGACCTATCAAATGCGGTATCCGCCACGGTGACTGTGTGAGAACTTGTTGCCTCGCACCCTGACAGCAGATATGGTCGGCAGTAAAAGGGATACAGCCCGGTGTTTGTAGACTGCTTTTGGAAGCCATTACCCGAGTGACACCAGCGGCATCAAAGTAGAGAGGCCAATCGGCGAGGTCTGCGCCGCGAAACTGGTAATCCACATGCGACAAAGACACGAGTCGCCAACTGGAAGCTGGTGCCGTTTCCGGTTGCTCTGGGGCGATGTCCGGCTGAACCAGTACGGAGTCCTGGGCCTCCAGCTCTGCTACAGCAGCTGACTCTACGAGGATAGGATGAAGTTGCTGCAGTTGCGCAGCAAGAGCGCCATAAAACAATTTGTGGAATTGGTGCGTGCAATAAAATTCATCGTAGCCCAAAAGGTAAGAGACCATCTCCTGCATTGACTTGCGACATCGTTTCTGGCACGCCAGAAGTAGGCGAGACAAAGTGGTGCGGGCCTGCACTTGATGTGGTAGTACCGGAGCCGGTGGCTGCAGTGCCTCTGTAGACTTTTGCGCCGCCGCTTGCAACAAAGACCACAGTGAAGTGAGTTGTGGCTGCACTTTGGTGGTGTAGCAGGTCACATAGAAGAGCAGGTTTCCCATGTTTGTGGCCATCCGAGCCTGAATGTCAGCCACTGGATCCGGGGCATCTATGGCACAAGGGGGGAACCGCAACAGCAAAGAGACGTCGTGATTGCATTTGGTTGTCGCAAGGATGGCGGGATTCACGCGGCCAAAAAACTGATGATGTCGTATCGTCTCAAAAGCGTGCAAGGAAGGGGGCTGCACACCCAGGGTAGGTTCTGGGCATAGGGCTATCCCATGACAGCGTTCCCACGTATGCGGGTGGTCGGGCGAACTTATGTCCAACCAATGCCAGAATCCGAGGCGACAGTAACCCCGACGGCCCAACTTGCCTTTATAGCAAGTTTTTTCCTTGCAGGAATGCAGAAGGCCAGAGTGCAGAACCGATCCTCGTAAATCGAATAAAAGCATGGTACTCTCTGGCACCGATAAAGGCCTTTGATCAAGATGCCTCAGGTACTCCAAACTCCACGGTGTCCATGACGTGCCTGTGTCGAGGTTGTCCGTGAAAGGGTTGATGAACGGCTCCACTGCTGGTAGGAGAGCGGCAGGTGCGCCAGCGAACCAATGCTGCCCGGCATCCAGAATATGTTGCCGATAGCTCGGGTGCATGACTCTCAAGTTCTGATCTGAGTAAGGAAACGGGCGAAGAGACCGCAAAGCGTCCGCGTCCAAAGCAAACATACGTGGCACTGCCTCAAAGGCGGTGGCCACGATAGACTGCACCCAAGCCCAAAGGCGAGACTCCAGTAAAGGCAACTGAGTAGCAAACCGACGCAGCAAGGTCTGCGGACTGTGGAACCCATAACAGAAAAGCAAGAAGTGAATGTGTAGGCTTCCGCGTTGCTGTGGCTCAATGGATCCAAAAGCGCCTGATAAAGGTGTCAAAATGCCACGGACCGTGGACGAAGCAATGCCATCTGGCTCCAGATGGGTTGCAGAAGCGTTGACATCCAGCAGTATCTCCAAAAAGAGGCGCACATGTAGGTGGAAAGCTTGCACAGCTGCAGCCGGGTCTTGCGCCACGATGCGCCAGAGGTTTACGTCTTGCAAGGCAAGACGAAGGCTGGAGTCCAAACGGGCTGGATCGAGGACATGTAGATCTGTTGATAAAGCAAATTTCCAAGTATAAGGATGCAAGACGTCAGCTGGGTTCAAGGTCAAAAAAACACAGGGGGAGCCAAGATACTTGGTCATGGACGCCAATTGTTGGCGCATGACTCGCCGAGCCGCATCTGTGCGTGGCACGGTCCCCTGAACCGTTTGCAAGAGGCGGAGGATGGTCTTCATGGCTGCAGCAACGTCATTGGAACGCAGCGCCTCGGGGATAGAGCCTTTCCTGGGAAGAGGGACAATGAGTGGCCCGCCCAGCACAGGTCAAAATAAACCACTTCCAAAATGTTCGGAAGGAAACAAAAAAGCTAGGAAGGAAAAAAGACAAGACAGCAACCAAAAGGCTCTCCAAGAGTGGCAGCAACTGCAGCAAAATCGACAGCGTGTAAGTTACAGAAAGATGGAACAGCGGCCTGGAAGCTGGGAGAGGCGATTTTCACGCGAACAGCTCGTAGAAGGCGGCGCCGATGCAAGACAGAAAAGAGAACTGCGACAAAGTCGAGATCCAAGCGCCAATGCATCTCTGGGGCACGATCCCGGCGAAGAAGAAGATGAGCTGCCCAGGCATGGTCCGAAAGGAAGGACGTTCGATACTGGCCATCAATACCGTCCCCGTATGGAAACAGACACGGAAAACAAAGGCTCCAAAATGAAGGATGGTAACTATCCAATGGCTGATCTGCATGCGGAAGGAAGGCATAAACTTTCGTCGGATGTTCTTCGGCGGCCTGCAGAGCTGGATGTCTAGCGCTGTGCCCTAGGCGTTGCATGGCTTCTTGCGCCAAGCGAAAGTGCGCCGTCGCCGCTTCATAGTCTGTGCTGGCTGTGCGGTCGAAGCGCTCACAGGCAAGGAGAGCCGTATTCCAGAGCTGAATTGGATCGATTGAGTCGGTTCCTGGCTCGAGGACTGCTGCGTTTACACTGCCTAAGGTGCTGGAACCTTCCTCAGTGGCATCGGCAGGGCCAACCTCCCGCTGCAAGGCAACATCGGTGCGTTGAGCTTGTTGGAGCCATGCTTCTGGAACTCCGTCCTCGGGCAGTTGCTGCAATGCTTCCAGGTCAATGGAGAGATCACAGTAAAACGGGTTGTGTAGGACTAGCCACGACAGAGCCCGGTGTACCACAGCACGTCGGACAATAAATTCGCGACAAAAGCGAAGATCCGAGTGCAGCAGGTTGGTGAAAAAAAATGCTCAGGTATTCAGCCACGTGTTCGGGGGTTGTTGGAAGCGCACGCAAGACGGTGATGCCATTCTGTGGAAAAGCAATCGCGCTTGCTGTCCCGAAGAGGCCTGCTTGCCGCGCAGCAGGGTTGCCAGAATGCGTGAGCTGTCGCAGGCGGCGCAGAGGAAAGCCACGAGCGATGAACATTTGCTCTCCCAAAGACAAGCCTTGTAACTCCTTTGGGGGGCTTCAAGCAAACATTGTTGTTAGCCAACGCAGCCGGTGGTAGTCGTGGGGGTTGTCGCTTCACCTGTGAGAAGCAAGTAGTGCAGCAAGGACAACGTAGTGCACATACAGGATCTGCGGCAGCGGCCTCCCAATCTTTGAGCTTGTCAGAGGGAATGTAGAGCAGCCAGGCGTCCTGGGCAACTACACCAGTGAGAGAACGGCGGAGCGAACCTTAAAGAGAAGATATGTTGGACGTGTATATATGCATGACCTTTAGGAGATATATCAAAAGAAAAGAAATGATGAATCAAGCTGTGAGCAGCATCGAGTCCAGGTGTAGCTAGTTCTGCCGGTAGAAGAACAGCCGCGCTCTGCAAATGTTCATAAGTCAGCCCGACATAGCCGACCGGCAATTCCTCTTCGAACGACTGGGCCCAGTTTTCTAGGAAGCGTCGAGCTGACAACCAACTGTGAAAAAAAAGCAGCGGTGTCTGCAGTGTCACGGAAGTCTACCAGAAAAGTTTCTTCAGTTGGAGACGCAGCGGAACAAAAGCCACAAAAAAGGTTGGGCTGCAACAGCTGCTCGAACTCGGTGCGGTATGCGGCCATGTGACCTGTCAGACTTGCTGTCGATACAGCATTCGGCCAAGCATCCGCACACCTGGCGAGCAAAGGAGCACGCCCTTCTCGCGTGGGATGGTCCGCACGCAGGTGCAGGAGCATTGCATTGGCATCGCTGCATTGTCTGTTGCAGAGCGGACATACCACCTGGCCAACAGGCCCACGGGGCTGCTCGCAATCAGATGGATATGGGCAAGGCTCCTGCGCAGTGACGGCACATGCGTTTGCCAAAGCGGCTCGACGAGACTCAGGGCCGAGGCAACGAAACTGCCATTGAGCGGCTGGATGGGGCAGACACGCATCAAAGGCAGTCAAGAAGTGAGCCAGGTCCATGGGTGGCCGAGCACGCAAAAAAATGCAGCAACTCAGCAGCAGTAATCAAAGAATGCGTAGGTAGCACCCGTCGGAAAGGTTCTCCGCGATAGCGGTCGACCCAGGTGATCTCCGTGCAGCTGACAGCAACAGCCTGCTGGATATGATCCCAAAAGACGGAGAACTCCTGTGGAGTCCAGACCTGCTGCTGAAATGCAACGGTGCGCTGCAAAGTGGTAGTCAAATTTGCAAAGAAAGCACTGCAAGAGTCGCCTACGAAGCAATGCCATAAAATTTCTCGATACTCGCATTGCTGCAAACTGGTTTCCAGAGACTGCTGCAGGAGCCGCCGGGCATTGACTGCCTCGCGGTATTCCCGCAACTGTATTTTCCGGCGCAAGAAAGTGAAAACTTGCAGAAAATATTCCTCCTGTGGAATGCTGCCTTTATGGAAACGGACACGGGCTTTGCCGTGGAGATAAATCTGAGCAGATGGAATCGAAAACAGGGCGGTCCCTCGCGGGTCGACGAAACTGATCCGCAAAGCGTGCAGGAGAAACTCCAAATCAGGGATTTCCCAAGCCTCTGTCCGCATTTCTGATTGCAACTGTAAAAAAAGTAAGCGCGGCAGACACCACGGCACCACATCGAGGATGTTCACACCGAAAATCAAACAGCTTCTTTCGATATCGGATTCGATATCGGGGCATAGCTCTGCCAAGGTATTCCCCGCGAATCGCGACTCAAGAAGACATTGCTTCGGAAGGCTGCGGGCCCTTGTCGTATGGCTATGCCTCTCCCTGGAAAGAGTAATAAGATTGGTTACTCGCATAGGAGTCGTTTCACCTTTACTTAGGTTCACCCGTACCAAGAAGCAAGACCCAGGTTGCTCAAAAACTCCGAGACGAGTCCTTCAGTGAAACAAAGTACAAAACAACAAAGCTCCATAGCTGCGCACGGGTACCCTCAAAACTTCACATGATGTCTGTGTCTTGGTGTCTGTGCCTTCTCTGTCTCAGCTGCATTTGTCCGAGCCTGCCTTCGCAATTCCAGCACAAACAAAGAAAACCGACACAAAACGCATAGTCCAATAAAGGCACTCGAATTCAGGGACGGAGGATCAAAATTGTCGTTTCGATAAATGCGTCGAAACAGGAGACTGCCACCTGCCTCTTCTTTTTCTCAAGGCCAGCTTGCCTGCCTTGCATCAGGAAACGCGCATTTTTGCACACGACTTTGCTTCAACTACTCGCACAAGCTGTCGGTGCGCGAAAGAAAGCATGGCAGCATTGAGCTCATCTAATGACTGTTGGTTCGTAAGTTTGAGGAGCAATGAGGGGCGTCCAAAGGATGTGCTGAAGTCATCACAACTCCTTTGCAGGAAAGCGTGAAAATCATCTGTCAGCTTGTCCGAAAAACCGTTACCGGCAGTACAATATTTTGATTCCGTGCGGCAGCATCCACCGCGCGCCACCTTAGGAGAGCCCTCAGATTCACTGTGCTTAGAGGTGCCTCTACCTAAGCACAGCCAGCTTGCGGTCTTCCGACACTGCGACATAGTCAGAGTCGGAGTGCCAAGCCAGGCAACTCTGTACAAAGACTCTGTCCATAAGCTGTGAAAGCACAGTCAATTCCCATACTTCACACAACCACGTCCGGGTACCAGGAGTGGGAACCTCTCAGCAAGCTGTGGCGTGCCCGACCAAACTGCGAGGTCTGCCATGGTCGTCGGCCCCTCTGACCAAAAGATTGTCTGGGGTATCTTTTCCAGCCATGTCAGGAGCTCTTCCTTTGGAAAGGCCTCGGTGAAGCGCGCAAACTCGGCCTCGGTGCCTTTTTCGCACTCTTGTTTGGTAACACGGTGTCGGTAGCCACACTGGAAGCCGCCCAACAAATTCCTGCATCTCCACAAGTTTCCAGCCAAAACAACTTGCAATTTGTCGTGGTCCTGGTGAACCTCCAAGATGGGGCGGCGAAAATCCGGAAGGACAATGTTGTGCAACTGCAGCGCAGGATGATGTTTCTCACCAACGGTAGAATGCGCAAATTGCGCCTCAGCCAACCACTCGGTCAAATCGACGCTGGAAGCATTGTGGTAGGTCATGGAGGCCGGCAAGCCGACGAGGTCAGTTTGCTGACTTGCCCATAACATGTAATTTTCCAGCAATGTTAAACCTTGGGCGCAGTCCCCAGCGCAAGTCATGCACTTGCTGTAAAGCGGCGGTCCGCCAACCTTGCAAACAACGAAGAACTCTTCCCGCAATCGGGTGTCATTCAAGCCTTCTTGCGCCATGTACCTTTCCCAGCGCACCTTGTGACCACGTAGCAAGGGCGATTGGGGATCTTCACACGTCCACATCAGGCCAGTTGCAGTCAGCTCCGCCGGGAAAGACTCAGAGAGAAGCTCCGCTGCGCCGAGGTCCCAGATGCCAACGTGAATATGAAGCCCTTGTCTTGTGCCGGTGCCGTGGCCCAAAAGCCCACCAGCAGGGGCTGCTTGCACCCGCTGTGGCCGCAAAACTCGCTTCTTCGGGCTCGCCTTGCGCGAAATAGGCAGAGAACATGTTGCACAAGAAATGGCATGAGCCCTAAAACACCCACTGGCCTGGCTCCCACACGGATTCGCTTGAGGAGGCCCAGCTGATCCAACTCGAAGAGGAGACGAAGGTCCTGCTGTACGTTAGCCACAAGATCTGGGCGCTTGTCATACGTAGTCGATCGCCACGAAAAGAAAACCGAGCACAGGCCTAAGGCCGGAGCCGAAGTGGATACGACTGAAGGCACTGCGGTAACCTGATGGCACTGGAGTCGACCAGAGCCGTTTCTAAGTGCATGAAGGATGGAATCGGCAATCGCCTGCACAGTAGGTGGAACTTCCAATGCTTTCTCGGGTCCTGAGTGGGAGCAGGCATGAACATGTTCCGCAGCATGACCGCCACGAAAAGAAAACCGAGCACGGGCCTAAAGCCGGAGCCAAGGTGGAGAGAGCTGAAGGCCCTGCGGGAACCTAATGGCAATGACAAGTTGACCAGGGCCGTTTCTAAGTGCAAGAAGGATGGAATCGGCAATCGCCTTCGCAGCAGGTGGAACTTCCACAGATTTCTCAGGACCTGGGTGGGAACAGGCATCGACACGTTCTGCGGGGAGGCTTCAGAAGTGAGAGGTCGTGGGCAAAAGAAAACAGCTGGTTACGCAGCCGTGCCTTCG